TCTACGAGGGTCAAACTGAAAGTTCTTAGAAAATCAAAAACTGATTACATTAGCCAGTTATTAGTTTTATTATATCTTTTCAAAATATTGTCCATTCACGTCAATACACCGCTGCATGCGATGGAACCACTGGGAAAAGCACTTTGCCCACTCGTCCTTAGGGGTCTCTTCAATGGCATCGCGATACGCAGCCACCGCTTCTTCAGCATTCATAAACCGCTTTCCTTTAAGTTTTTCTTTAATTTTTGAAAATAAATAAAAATCACAAGGCGCGAGGTCGGGGCTATACGGCGGGTGACCCAGTAATTCAACGTTTGATGTCGCCAAATAGTCGATCGTTCGCTTGGCGGTGTGCGACGAGGCGTTGTTGTGGTGAAGGAGGATCCTACTGCGAGGTCGTTTCTCTCGAACTTTTTCCAAGACAAGTGGCAAACAATTGGTAGTGTACCATTCTGCAGAAACTGTTTTTTGATCCTCTAACACAATTGTTGCAAAATGACCTATCCTTCCAAAGAACGAGGCCACCATTTTTTTTCCCGCACTTCGATCTCTCTTCACTTTAGTTGGCAACTCCTCGAAAGGAAACACCCACTGAGCAGATTGTCTTTTGGTTTTAGGATCATAACAGTAAATCCAGCTTTCGTCACCTGTTAGTATGTCGAACACAGCATTTGAGTCACCTCCGTTAAATCTTTCAATCATTTTACGACACCAATCCACACGATGGAGTTTTTGAGCCTCAGTCAAATTATGAGGTATCCACCGGGCGCAAAGCTTCCTGACCGCTAAATGTTCGTGGAGGATTTTGTGCACTTGACTCATACCGATGCCTAAGCTTGTCCGAATCTGTTGATAGGTCACTCTTTTGTCAGTCTCTATCATACGCCGCACAACACAGATGTTATCTTCAGTCGTCGCCGTAGAAGGCCGTCCCTCACGTAAATCATCAGTGAGATTAGTGCGACCACGTTTAAACTCATTAAACCAGTTGTAAACAGTCGCACGAGATGGGGCTTCATCGTGAAAGGCCAATCGTAGTCTATCATAACTTTCTTGTTGACTTAAATGACATCGAAAGTCATAAAAAATCATTGCACGAAAATTTTCTCGTGTTAAATTCATGATGACGTGACACAGACAATTTTCAATTTGCCGCCAAATCGTAAAACAAATGACAAATGAATGAAATATATACTCAGTAATATTGGCAAAGAGTTATATTTTCAAATTTTAGAACTATTTTTTTATTATATTGTTTATAAGTGGCCAGTTCTAAGAACTTTCAGTTTGACCCTCGTATTACGCTATGTGCAAAGTCTTTCAGTATGATATGACGCTATCCAATGTCATACAATATAAAAGAAAATAATATTGAAATAATAACTGTTATATATTAAATAATACACGTAACTAATATTAAGTAACTATTTCCATAATTTATTGAGAATGACATAACAAACTGAGGTTGCTAAGCGATGCATATCGGACGTAATATATGACACGCCTCCGCGGCGATTCCTGGCTGTGGACCTGGGATGCTGGCAGCAGTTGGTCTAAGTGACGAGTCCACTTTAAACCATCGTTAGTTTGTACTACATAGTGCAATTTCCCTAGGCGTTGCAATACAGTGGCAAACGTCCACTTCCGGCGAGGACTAGAATAGCTTCTTGCCTGTACACTATCTCCTAGAACGAAAGATCTTATGGGCCCATTGTTGGATTGTAATTGAGTGGTGTTGTGTATCTTTTTAAACATTGAGTGTAATTTCGTCCTTATATCTCTACCGAACATTAATTGATAAGGTGTTTGTCCACTGGGGCCAAAATAACTAACACCTTGTAGAAAAAACTAATAAAAATATTTAACTGAAAAATAAAGTAAGATACTAAATATAGTATCATAGTAAAAAACAAACTCCAACGTTTTAGTGCGCCCATATTTGTTTTATTGGACGTTATGACATTGACATCCATTTTGTGTCGGCAAACCCTCGAACATTGCACCGCCCAGCGGCCTCGTGTTAATAGATGCCAATATTACTACGATGTCCAGTGTGTTCAATCTCATCATGCACCTATTATATATTAAAATAAATCCGGCAACATTGAACGTGGCTCGGCGTTAAGTGAGATAGCGACAAAGGACGGCGCATTGCGTGTAAAAAAGGTTTTTTTCTATCAATTGCTTGCAAACTAATACATGTTACTACTAAATGGTGTCCGAAAATACACAATAGAAAAAGAATCTTACACAAACATAGTACAATATCGGTTGATAATGATTTCTGTAATTTCTGATTTCAACCTAACAATGTACGGAAAAAGTAGGTGCAATTAAACTATCAGCAGATAGTGCAAATGTAATACAAAGTAATTATGCAGACAAACAAAACTAAAGGCTAATGTTAAAATGACGTACAAAACGTGAAAGCATACTAGCGACAAACAAAATGCGACAAGTGGGGGCGAAAAGAGAAAAAAAGAAAATAGAGAAAGAAAGGAAATGCACATTAATTTTCAGACAGGTATAAAGATTTTTACCAGTGATTTGAAAGAATCTAAAGACTTTATTTAAGTAAGAAGTTCCAGAATGTTGGCCTGTAATGTAAATGAATTCAAATCAAAAATCAAAAATTATTTATTATTACATATTGTATTACATATTACATATGTATTATTACATTATTAATAATACTTTATTAAATTACTATAGAATTTAGTCAGATCAAGAGGTGTTATTATTGAGCGACAATTATTAGAGGAGCGAACAGAGAGATCAAGAGAAGACGAGAGAAATTTAAATAGAGTTTTAAGATAGGAAGGAGTCGTGGGATTGAACAGTATTGAGTAGAAAAGAGAGAGCATATGCATATTCCTACGTCGGCGGAAGGGAGGGCGGAATTCGGAAACATGGTCATATTTACATCAGCCAAATATAAACCGTATTGATAGATTTTGAAGAAGTTTATTTAGATGGTCAACTGTAAGGTCAGGATGTGTGCGTGTAATTTCGGTAGTAGGCAAGAGAATACGCAGCAAACATCTTCCGGCTAACTTTGCTACTTGTGGATGCCATTACGACGTCTTTTCAACGGTACCCAGGTCCTTTACAGCATCAGCATAACTCACATAAACCCCATCAAATTTAATTGGAGGTAATTGGTCAATTTTAATCCTAGAAATATAGAAAGGACTTCCTATTATAATACATTGTGTCTTGAACTGTATACCAAAAGAGTCACTGCAATGGAAGATTCATGCCAAGTCTGTATTAATAGCGCTAATTGCATCACCAAGCTGCTCAAAACGCTCCTGGGAGTAAATTTGGAGTTCCTCTGCATACAAATGATAGGAAGAAGAAAGGTGTGTTCGAATTAATAAAAATAAAAACAATAACGGAGAGAACACACCGCCTTGAGAGACACCAGTTGTCGAAGAAGACCACATAGAAAACGAATTTTCAGCATTTCGTGAGAGATATGGCATGATGTTAACCAAAGCAGTAGTGAAACTATGTGCTGGACGAAAACCAGATTGAAAGGGATTAAAAAGCTTTTACTCTCTGCTATATCATGTGACAAAACTTACCCAATTTAAATAACACCAAAGCTCATAACAAACAAAACGAGCGCCGAACAAATCCAACCGATCAGAGTGCAAGTACTCTCGAATGCAGTTTCGGTTTCGGTCGAAGTTTCGGTAGGTTTGCCACCAAAACCGAAACTAAACCGAAACCTATTTTTTTGTTGAAACTTAACCGAAATCAAACTTTCGATCGGCCACTTGGTACTAAGACTTAATTGACTCTCAAACAGTTGATTGCTTTTGAATTTCATATATAATCAAGACAGCAAAATATTCAATCCCTGTTTTTGTTAACGTGTGTAAAATCTGGATGAAAAAGCACGATCAAAAGAACACCAAAAATATATAGGCTGAGCAGCAGAACTTAGCACAAAGAATTAATTTTTATTCAAAGTACCATATAGCGTCATAACATAATCCTAAATGCAATGAATGACTGTGTTGTATGAGGGAAAGTACCATCAAGAACTGTCGTTCTTCATGGTGCTTTCCCTTTATTTTATAATATTGCGGTTATTATTTCATTTTATTTAAGTATAATATATTAAAAGTGTAAGTTGGACACATCGTACGTTTTGAAGCGTGCGTAACGTTGGTAACGGGTGTTTTGAAATCCTTCCAGTCTATACCTCCGAAATATCGAAACGCGCTCTTTTTGGCCTAAAAGCACACGTTTAAAACGCTTACAGTGTTATTAATAAACAAGGTTTAGCTTTGGAGTAAATTTACGCTGAGACTGCACTCAGTATTAGTCAAAATTCATATTATTCAACAAAGCCCTAACAAAGGTTAACCTAGTACGAGGCTCTACGGGAGTAATATTTACTCCTAGAAGGTATTGGGTTTGCTTATTCTCTGTATAATATGAATTCGGACTTATACTTAAATTGCAATTTTATCGTAAATTTACTCCGACGCTAAACCTTGTTTATAAATAGCACTGATAATGTGTACTTAGTGTTAAACTTTTTAATATTATCTATACACACGGATAGCCATTACCCTGTAGGAAAAAGGTTATCTCATAACTATCACAAAGCTTCCGCAACTGTCAATACGTCCAATCGCCAGCCGCGTAGCCAACAAAATATTTATGACTAGTGGACGGGGAAATACTTGGGCATTTTTGACATATTGGGAATATTCCCGATAAGCGCCTATAAATTTCTGCACATTTGGTATCTGTTGGAAGTATAGGTTATTTAACAACAAATTAGTATTCAAATAATAAAATTAGTCGTGTTAACTTTGGAGATATCTGGTATTAGTGTCATAAATTTAAACACTTCATTATAAATACAACATAAATCTCACGTGAAATTGGTAGCGGTGTTTGTTTCGAAAATGAAAATGGTCGACATCATACTTAGGCAAACTGTATCATGATTATATCTAGGCACAGAGATGTTCTGTATTTGATTGACACAAAAAGAATCACAAATATTCGTTTTAAAAATAATTTTAAGTAAATTAATATTATAGATAAAATTGTTACCGACACAGTGATTGTAGTATGTCATCATCCTAATGTTGCAATCAAGGATTAGGCTTTTCCTGTCCGAATTACGTAGGAAAATCGGATCACGGGCCCTGTACCTATTGGTGAGTGTTAACGACTGCAGATGCATTTGGGACCAACATCAGCTTAATATGGTCCACACAGTCGATCTGTGCATAAAATCGCTCCGTTCTACATCGTTGGATTGTCACATTAATGCGGTCTGTTTTGAATAGCGATCCATCGAGAACAGAACCTATAGAATGCGACTTTCAAGGATTCGTGAGGCGGAAAACTATTTTAAAAGATGGAAGGAAGATATCTCTATCGTCGTGGCAGAGATACTGGCTGCAAATAACGAGAAACATTCTCGTTTTCTACTCTTCGAAGTCTTTTAAAGGGTAAGTAGGTGTGATTCTTGTTAAAAACATTCTTGATTATTGAAATTTGAGCTTAGGAGATGTATCACCGTATATCTATATCACCGTAAACTTATAAAAAATCAGCTAGATTGCAATCTATTTCGTAAGATTGTGGGAAAATTGTGATCTGTTGTTAATACTGCTTATAATCTGACGTCAAACTGTCGAATTGTAAATTGGCATGTAACGGAACGCATATCGCATATTGTCTGGTTGAACGTCACGTGCACCGCGCCCCATATTTGGTATTCAAATTGTGGTCGAGTCGAATGTGAACAGTGTTTTGATTATTGGAATTGGTTTTTCATTTCAAATTATCTCAACATTTTCAAACAACTATATAAAATTGTTGCGAAAGTAAAATGAATCTGTGAAAAACCGAAGAAGTGCACTTCAAACGATAACTAACTAAAATAAAACTAAAACTACCAATCAGGAGCTATCCTGTGACAGTTAATATTTTGACCCGCCATAGATCGTAGTCTGATGGCTTGTCTTCGATAAATTATAATATATAAAATGCATTATATTTAACAAATTTTTCGATAGTCTTCAATCTCGTCAGGTAGATTAAATAATCCAGCGGTTTTTACCGTTTTACGGTGACTATTATTTGTTCAATGTCATTAATACAGCAGCGCTAAAGCTTAATGCCGTTATAAAAGGCTACGGTGTGACGAGACATTGCAATTACGGAGAAATGAGATTGCTTTGCTTTTCTAGATCGTGTTTTCAGTGAGCGGATTTAAACGTGTTAGTTATTTTTATTTTGTGTATGCGGTCTTTGGTCTCTTCTATATTTTTCTCCACGCTCTTACTGAAATTCGATTAGGCATGTACCTAGTCGGATTTCACGGTCGGACACTAGTACTAAGACATTAATTGACTCTCAAACAGCTGGTTGCTTTTGAATTTCATATATTTTTAAATTTATTTACCAACGTCTTATACATTGGAGCAGTGTACAGAAAGAGTGAATCTTAAAAAATAACTTAGTGAATGCAAAGATAATTGTAGGTAAACACTGCATGAAATCCAACAGCTTAATATCTATCGATAAAGTAACAATAACAGTATATCAGCTACATTATGCTTATTCCTAATGAATAAAATAATTATACAATTTATTTTTGAAATTATTCTTTGACAACCAATTATGCTGATGAAGAATATTTTTAACATTTGTTCCAAAAGCGATTGTGACTTTAAACATTACCTAATACAATAATCGCTATCATAATCACTGTATCTCTGAAAATGATCGCCATATATATCGAAATTAGACATTTAGCCAACAGGTGTTGCAGATACTGAACAGGTGTGGCATTTGCCAGATATAGTAGTTTCACAGCTTTAGAAATGGACTTACACATAGTAACGCCTGATTCTATAAAATAGATAGATAGAATTTCAAAAGATACTTTTCGAACAGGACAAGTCGAAACGATTTCCGTTTGGAGCGTTGTAAAGTGCTGTGTTTGGATGGATGGGTGGCTACCTGGAACGCCGGAGATGCGGCTGATGCCTTCCAACTTATAAACCACCACGCAGCTACGATGTACAAATTTAAGTGAGTACTCCTGCATATGTTGTAGTTTTAAAGTTTAAAAACCAATAGAGGTGGCCAATTGATTACATAATATGTACGCACATACAGTACCTAAAATTATAATAAGGATAAAAGGATCAACCTAAGAAATATCTGTCTGTGGAATTTATATATTTTTTCGAGATTCGCTAGAAGAGGGTAATAAATGTTACTTATATTAGAAATGAGTTGGACCGCCTATTGATTTCTTATTTAATTATATATTCCGGAATGCACGACAAATTAGATAGTTATAAGTCTACACTAGTCTGCATAAGCTAAAATATATTACGATTACAGAGTACACCCTGCATGTTTTCACATACATTATAATTTATCGGATATCAGTTTTTCTGCGTGTAACGAATTAAAATCCAACGTTTAGCATTATGTTAGTAGAATCGAAATGAACAATTCACAAAATGTGGAAAATCAGTGTTATGCGTCTAATGGCTGATTTACACGTATTAAGTTGTTGACTAGTTAACAAAATTTGAACTTACAACTTGTTACTTAACGTGAAACCAGCCATTCGCGTATATGATTTAAGTCAACCTTAAGATTTTAATCCTGTCATAAACGACAAAATAAAGTTCCCGTCATTGCACAGATATTATAATACTATGAAGCGGTAACTATAAGAAACTCTCATTGATTTTTTATATTTAAAACGTTTATATATTTTTACAACGATTTGATTTTTTTATTCGTATATTATTCAAAAATGTTGATTTATTTCAGTTTCCGAAATAACTTTGTCAGTCCAAATCTTTCTGATGATATGTGATTTAGGAAAGCAATATAATTCAGAAAACTAATACAATAAAAAATATTGAATTAAAATTATAATTACTAAAAGCAGATCATAACAAAACAATGATGAAAACAAAAGCCCTGAACCGAGTAACCCGGTCGAGTATTCTGTACATTTCTAATTAACAGTTACCGACGACATTTAGTCTGAATTTATCGTAGCGAAGAATAACCAACATTAATTAAGAATTGTACGTCTTTTCCTAGAACTGGATCTGAAACGTCGGCCAAACAGTGGGTGAGGAAAATAGAGGAAGTGACTACTAAAATAGTCAAACCCCTCCCTGCGAACCTGATGTCGTTTGAATAACGCATATACCAGCCAACCAGTATGTACGTGTGATTTTCATAAACTACAGTTATTGTTAAAATTATATGTACAGCTGTACCTAAGTGTGATTCTGCGTACTCCTCGCAAAGCTTTTACATCGTCGTTGAATTATCAAACTTTTAATAATTATTATTTTATTGTTATTATATAATTTATTTTTGTTATATTTCGTGCTTGAAATATTATTTATGTTACTTTATACCAATGTTTTCCAATCTATAGTCCGCGATCCCCTGGGGACGTAAGTATAAGTATATGATGGGGGATTATATTATATTTAAAGACTATTTAATTATAATAAATGCTAACAAGTCTCGTTTTCGCTACGCTTATTTAGCTTGGCGTGAGTGCATCGCTTTATGTAACATCAACTCAAATATCACACTATATTTAGATCTAAAAAGCGTCACTATCATTCACATCAACATAATATTATGGAAAACTTCTAATCTCATATTTATTTAAAATACAAATAAGCTTTTCGAAAATTCATTGGTTTTTTAATAAACGGTCCCATGATATCTTGCTTGGGTTCCTAGGGATGGTGGACCAGAGAGGTCAGAAAACGCTACTTTATCTATACTATACGTTGATCTGGTAAACCGATGATTGGACTCAAAGAATACTGCTGTTTCGAAATATCGTAATGACTTCGTATATATCTATTGTAATTTAATATTGTTTAGTCCGAGTTGCCTAATGTTTGACTGATAGACATTTTGTATACATATTCCAAATGTGGAAAGATATGAAATACGTCGTTATATAGTGAATATGAAATAAGTTGGTAGTGCTTATAATTACTGTTTGCGCGCTTATTACATAGTTTAAAAATAAATAAATAAATGAATCCTTTAATTCATCTATCGTTTAACATGAAAATTCTATATGTTATTTATTTCGCGTCTATGTATTCAGTTTCGTAGACACGTAACAATCCATAAGCAACGTTACGATTACATTATCTAAACACAATCGCTTATCTCATTAAAATGGCGTCAATAACTATCATAATTGTAGGAACATTAATAATTGATAGTAATCAATAATATCAGTTATATACAGCAATACGTTTGATGAATACTTGTTATGTATTTAGATTTAGTTTCGGTATCGGAAACATTATACGTATTTCAGTGATTCCATGTTGACATTAACTCAACTTATCCATAAACTTTTTGATTCATAATTTAACAAAATTTTGAAAGATATTAGTTTTGATGTGTTGTAAAATAGAATATTTAAAAAATATTTCCTTTAGACAATTTATAAGCAATCACCAATAACTGGTTATATCGGTAAATTAAAGATACAAGTAAAATTCAAACGTGATACTGAAACTTATGGCTAGTGAAATCAATATTTTAAACAAATCAGTGTGTCTATAAACATTTTCTATTTACAAAATAACTATGACAATAGAATATCATATAAATATAGTACATAATTTTAGCTCGGTGTTATTTTAACTTTATCAAGAGCGATATTATTGTTTTTATAGTTACCATTGTGCATCACTTTTTTGACGTAACTGTATACTGTGAACTGTCACAATTTTAACGTTTTAAATATTAAATAAATATTTTGGCTGCAAACATATATATTTATAACAAATATATCGAATCTGATATTCAATTGTTGACCATATCACTAGTACATACATATATTGTATTTCATTTTTTAGGATAGTAAGTCATATTTAGTATATAGTGCCGAATTGATATTGTGCCATTGATTAATTAATGATTTATCGACGAACAAACAATACGGTCGTTAGGTCACGTTCTTATTGTTTATATACTCAATATTCTTTAAAATACTCTGCACATGTTTCACAATGAAACAACTGAATGCCTGATCCATGACATATGTGAGTTTTTTTTTATTATTTACCGCTGTATATATATTTGTTTTCAAATTCTTGTTATATTTTGTACATATACTTGGCTCATTTTGTGTTTAAAGTTTAGTTGAGAATGTGTCCGTTAAAAATGATATACATCTATTCTATATTATTATTGTAAGTAGTAAGTTTCTATTCCTTGTAATTAATTTTAATTGATACATAATAGCTGCACAATAATACTGTCTCAATAATTATAATGGAGGAACAAATTTCTTAATGTAGATCTTAATGCAGAATATCTCAAATAGGGACATAGACAGAATTTAAACTTAATTAAATAATTAGTAAACAGTTTGACCCTACAGCAGTTTTAGCAAAGTTCTGACGTTCACTTAGATAGTGGAATGACAAGTTAGGAGATTGTTCGACGATGTGATAATAACTTGTAATTAAATTTTCATCGATAATGTAAATCGATACTGTTAGAGTTGTGCTACATCTGTCAGCACAGTATCCCCTTTTTTTGTTGCGCTATCCGTTTCTGTCTTTCAGAACCTCCATTTCCTAGAGAGAGAAAGATAGCAAATGTGTCTATTGTCGTCTTGTATTGTTATTTTGAAAAATTTCGTCATTGTTTTTCTGGTGTCTCTCACAGTTTATAAATCCATATTTTAAAATGACTTGAAATTTTGATATTTTTATTGATTTTTTTTAGATTCTGTACGTAAGGTTTATTAACTTTTGTGATTAGGCATTACACAAATCCTTTTCGTCTATAGTCAACTCGCAGATTCAACTGTGTAGTACTCAATAATACTCAATAACATAATAGTTTTTATGGGTTGGGATATTCTCGGCTTGATGATTTAGCAGACCGAGTATGTTACCAAGGTATTTTGATTGAATCCAATGCCAACCAAGCAGAGGTTACTAAAGTTGATTAATCATTGGCGAAATTTTTATTGAATCGGATGGTAATCAATACGACTCTTGATGATTGGGATAACGAAGCCAATACTCATTGGCATAACTATATGGCAGGCTTGCTGATTCACAATGTAGCGTCAAACTTTTTCTTTAAATACTTAAAATTGAATACTATTGAGAGTAGTCGAAGTTTTTGGAAAATAATTTAAAAGGCGTACAGAATAGGTCCACACTATTTACCTATTACATAATGTTACACTAATGTTTGCAAAAGTGTCAAATTATGTAATTACTTATTATTGTGTAAGTATATGTCTGGCTACCGGTTGTTTTCGTGCATAGTGACGCCGTTATTTGCCCTATGGAAAATTATAATAGTTTTTTTACGACTTGCTGTTCGTACGAATTAACATGACCTATTACTCTATTTTTCCAAAAATTAAACATCATCTATTTAAGAAATGCCAATACGACTTCAAAGAAAAGCATTTTCGATAATTTATTTGCAACAAAGGTAGTAAGTACATAACACTGTCTCTGATCATTTTCATACATATGATATAATTTTGTGAAAATTATAAAATTGATTCGAAATCATCTGAATTTTCCTTTGCAAAATAGTTTAGAATCATATTAATGTTTCGAAAATAGACGAAATTTCGTTTTTGGAGGCTTCAGGTGTCATTTCAGTTCGTAAGAATTGTACGTAAAGTAGGCTAAGTAGTAAATATGTATTTATCAACGGAACTGATTAATTCTATAAACAACACATTTTAAAAGTCGTGTGTTTTTAAGATATTAGAATCTCTATGATTGGCTTATGACACCGCCACGTTATCTAGAATTTGTCTACGTGATTTTAACGTAATTCACTACGTGCCATCATAAATACTTGTTCCAACTAGATCTTTCTTTGTTTGTGATAAAACAGATAGAAAATGTCCTCACTTTGAAATTGCTTGTGCTCTGTTTAAAGCTAGGAAAAAGGAAATAAGTTTCACCGCAGATCTAAACAGTGGAACTGGCTGGAACAAAGGGTTGTTCATAAACCAGATCTATATCTAATCTTGTATCAAAATAATAATTTGGTCAGGTGCTATCTTTGTATTTACGCGTGATAATAATTATAGCATTGAAATAGTTACTAGTACGTATACTCTAATTGTGTCTGTATTAGTTTAGCGATTAAATGTTTATCAACGAAAACGTTAAGTATCAACTAGTTGCCGAACACAACTTTTTATGGGTTGAACAATCAATATTTTTTCCTTCTCTGTTTCTTCTATTATCCGTTTCGCATGGCATGGGTACGGTGACGTTAGTTAACAAATCCATTTCACACAATTTGTATTTCCAAATAATAATTAAAAACCATCGTTTTAAAAAATAGTTTCACTGTGTAATAAATATCTTATTTAAACTAGCATAATAACACAAATAATATTTAATAGCCAACATTACTGAAAACTAACCCTCTAAAGTTTAAAACATCAATATGTGCCTGTTACGACAATTAGAACATCAACAAGATTGCATCAACAAAATCGTTTTATTCTGAAATACGTATTCGGTAATCATATGACATTTTTTTTTAAATTATTGTTACAATTAAACTTAAACATAATAAAATTTATATTTTTCCGACTAGGGTTCATATTGTTGATGAATAAACATTTTTCTTAAATGTTTTTTATATATTTTTTAACCCTAACGTCAACATATCCATGCTATGTGAAAAAGACTATAGAATAATATAACTTATAAACAATAATTATTTTTTGTTAACAACACTGACACTGTAATGAATACTCTATTCAAATATTCTATTTAAACAAACAATGCAAATCCACCTTTACAGTTCTTTGTTATATTAATATAGGTTACCGAATAATAACATGTTATTTCGAATAATACATTTCCGAATAATACCGAATAATACATTTCGCAGAAATGGTTGTTTCAAATACTAACACTAATAGAGCATAGTAGATTATCCAACTGTCGATATCGTATTCAGTCAGCGCACTCCGATTGATCATATAGATAGATACAAGCTGTTGGATGCAGTTGCGGGCGAAGATTATTTGTGATTGGAAAGCCACCGTTACTATGTCCATGGATTTTTGTAGACTTGGGATGTGATATGAATTATAAATATATATTAAATGTCATTGATTATACTTTTAGTATGAAGCTTTCGCCCATTAAACAGACCGTTCTTTAAATGAGTTTGTCCAGTGTAAAGAGGCTGGCTTGTATACGGGGTAACCACAGTCGTGCTTTTAACTTAATCTTTTACCTATATAATTAAAACCTATATACTTGATAACTTACGTTACTGCACCACGCGTGCCTTTTTGGAAATGGCGTTTACACATTCTACACGCTGGAGATGTATACCCTAGGGCAGTGATTCCTAACCTGTTACCCCTGTGACCTTTTAAAAAACTAATGTAATATAAATATTACAAATAAATACAGATATTAAGTTAATTAAGTGATGGT